ATTATACAAATAATTCTCACATATTATTGAATACGAATAATATATGTTATAAAAGTTATACTGAAATATTATATAATGGCTTCTTAATATCTACTTTGGATATGTTGAAACTAGCAAATTAATATCTATAAAGTACAAACTCATGAAACTTGGAGGGTCCTCTTTTCTTTTTTTTTAAATTTGTATATTAAATACTATAGATAGACCTTTTAGAATAGTATAGCCGTGTGTCCGTAGTGCGATTTTTTTTTTTCCAAAAATAGTATAGTGACACGTGGCGTCTAATCGTTGGAGGGTCCTTTTTAAAATTAAAAAAGAAAAACAAAATTTAGTACAGCCGCGCGGCTATACTCTGTGTTTTTAATGTTTTTAAAAAAAAGTGTAGCCGCACGGCTATACTATTTTACAAAGCCTTTAAGTAGCATAATATGTATTTCTCTTTTTTCATTAAATAATAACTAAAACATAATTACTAATTTAACTAATTAAATCAATCAAATATATTATTTAATTACTAAAAATAAAATTTTAAAAAATTAATTAACGTAAACATCCTAAGTTTATATTTATTTTTTTGAATTAAACTTCCCCAGAGCCCAAGAGCCCCAAGGCCCAAGGCCCAAGTCTTTGATTAATTTAATTATTATTAATGGAAGCCAAATCCAAAACCAAGCCCGTTAGCCCAACTCTCCAATGTTAACTGCACTTACTAAATCATCGTTGTGCTTTGTTTATAAACACCTTAATAGGAGTGTGAATTTTCGATGTGGATTTTCTAATTTTTTTCACGCTTCTTCATAGTGTTACCAACCCCATCCCTGAATTTCTTTTCTACCTGATTTTCTGAAAAATGCCTTTCTTTTTCCACCATTGCCTTTTCAATAGCTTTTATTCTTCTTTGTAAATCTTGCAAGTCCGAAACACCATCTGATACCATGGCCACTTTATCTCTATCCAAATGAGAGTTTCAGCATGCAGAAAGTCATCCTGGATACATATGATATCCAAAATCGCGTGCACCATTGAACTATTGAAATTTGGTGTGATCGTCACTGGAATTTGGCCTGAATCTGAGAGCTTTAAAGACGATGGTTTCGGTCCTCCTCCTAAGAGTTGGAAAGGTGTTTGTGACGGTGGCAAAAATTTCACCTGCAACAAGTACATTCCCTCCATTTTTTTTTTTTCTCACTTATTTAGTCATATTACAGGATCATGCAAATCATCTTTAGTTGGAGATCTGATATTCTAAAGTGTTGTGAAAACGCCCACAAAAATAACCATGATGAAACTAACCAGAAATAGAGGGAATCTTTGATAGTGATACTCTCATTGTGCTTCAGGCAACTGATATAAATATCACCTAGACTACCATATTTTTTCTTGAGAGAATGATAAAAAGATGGCTCCATGTGCTCTGATTCATTATTTGGATTCAATCCAATCCAGGAGAACTACCAAAGTGTTTAAGCACTCTTCATCCAAGAGTGTACTGAACTACTCTATTTCGAAACTGTTATCTCGATATATATTTTTGGCCCTCATCCTGCTTTTTGGATCACGACGTTGTCCAATATAGAAAACCAAATCCATGTAACTAATTCCAAAATATAGAAACCAACTAAGTACTTTTTAGTTATTGTTGTTCTTTTTAGTACTAAATCATAAATAGACAAATGCATCTTGCATGACAGCAATATATATGCAGCATTGTTGTAATAACTGTTGAGCTCTGAACTTAGAAAGATTATATCAACATTCTGAAATGTTTATTTTGCAGCAAGCTTATTGGAGCTCGACGTTACACAGCAGAGTCTGCAAGGGATGAATTGGGTCATGGAACTCACACTGCCTCAACGGTAGCAGGGAATGCTGTTAAGGATGTAAACTTTTATGGACTAGCAAATGGTACTGCAAGAGGTGTTCCTGCTGCGAGAATCGTAGTGTATAAAGTCTGGGGCCCGTCCTTGGGTCACAATGTCTTGGCTGCTTTTGATGATGCTATTGCTGATGGTGTTAACATCATTTCAATTTCAATGGGAAATGACGACCCTGTGGCAATTGGTGCTTTTCATGCAATGAAGAAAGGGATACTGACTTCACAGTCTGCAGGCAATATGGGTCTTAAAGTTGCTTCTGTGGTAAGTGTAGCACCATGGATATTAACAGTTGCAGCAAGTAGCATAGATCGCCGTTTCACTGACAAGGTTGTGCTTGCAAATGGAAAGACACTAGTGGTGCGTCTCATCAACTTCTTTTATCCTCGAAATAAATCTATCATTGTTACTTGCATATTATGTTCTATGCTTTTTAATGGTCTTAACACAAACAGGGGGAAATGTGTTAACACTTTCACATTAAATGGAACAAGTTTCCCTCTGATATATGGAAAAGATGCTGGAACAAAAAATTGCACTGGAGAAGATGCTGGGTGATTCTTGTGTCCATTTATTTTTCACGTCAAAGAGGATATACGAATTGTTAAGCTTCTAGAGTACTACTGATTTGTTGTTGCATTGCAGAGATTGTGAAGAAGGCTGCCTCGACGGTGACTCTGTTAAGGGAAAGATAGTGCTATGTGATTCGTTAGCTGGAGATAGAGGGGCATACAAAGCTGGTGCACTTGGTTCAGTTTTGATGAATGAAGTAGGATACAATGTTTCTCTTGTTCCCTTATTAGCTTCAACAGCTTTAATGAGGGAAGAGTATAATGTGGTCAGGTCCTACACGAACTCCACTAGGTATAGATTCTTTTGGACACTCAAAAGGCAATTGTGTCATCATATTTTCTCTCTTGAAATGATTGAGTGCTTCTGTTGTTTTATAGAGATCCTCAAGCAAACATATTTAAAAGCGAAAGTCATAAAAGATCCTGCTGCACCTACTGTCGCTTACTTCTCTTCACATGGACCGAATATAATTTTACCTGATATAATTCAGGTAAATGTTTCTTTTCACCTTCTGTTATATATCACATATATATCCCGGATACAGTCATAAAATTTGTGCTCTAATGTGTTTAGCCGGATATAAGTGCCCCGGGGGTAGAAATTTTGGCTGCGTATTCACCTGTTGTTTCTGTCACACGACTTCCACAAGACAAGAGGCATGTAAAATACAATATATTATCTGGAGCTTCCATGGCTTGCCCCCATGCTGCCGGTGCAGCTGCGTATGTTAAAGTATTCCACCCTAATTGGTCTCCGGCGGCAATCAAATCATCTCTTATGACTACCGGTACTGTCCTCATAATAGCTGTTACTTGATTAGCCACATCTTGATTTTAAAATTATGATATTCACCTTTTTTGGTTTGTGCATGTAGCTTGGCCCATGAATGGTACCAGCAACAACGTTTCAACTGGTGCATTTGCTTATGGATCTGGACATATCAATCCTGTAAATGCTATAAACCCAGGGCTTATTTATGAAGCTTCTGAAGAAGATTACATAAAGTTGCTATGCACAATCTATGATGAAGGCAAAGTAAGACTCATATCAGGAGATAAAAATGTTGGCCTTGCAAACTCCACTTACAAGGCCACAATCTTCTCGAACTCGAATGCTGATATCAAAGTAGTGCCCGAAGTCCTTTCTTTCCAGTCCTTGGATGAGGAGAAGGATTTTGAGGTGACCGTTGTCGGAAGCGATTTGCCAGATGGAGCACAAGTGTCTGGATCACTGGTTTGGTCCAATGGGACTCAACGTGTTAGAAGTCCAATTGTTGTTTATACATATATTCAACAAGAGCACCAGAACATGGTTACATGAGTAATGAGATTTACATTTTTAAAGTGCTTTAGATGAAATAAACAAAAGTAGAGAAATTCAATTCAACTAAAGTCCTGTGCATCTTTTGTGCTTTTTTTTCTTCTTTTTTCTGATGCAAAACAATAGTCTTCTCTTTTGCTTGATGACCATTAGTAAGATTACAAAGCTACACAATCTGCCATTATAAAATTAAAAAAAGGGATCTTTTGAGGAACTCTTTGAGAAATAGTGTTTTACATTTTTAAATGTGTTTGAATGAATAAAAAGTTGAGCAACTTTGGCTTTAGTTTTTTTAATTGTTATCAACCACTGTTATTTAAAGATTAAATCCAACGGTCGCTGTGCATTTAGGATTTTCCTTCTTTTTATTTATTTATTTTTATTTTTCTCTGTCATCGGGCTTTTTCCTTTTCTGATATTCTTTCTTTCTATACACACTCTGATTTGAAGACATTATTAAGAATTTAATATAGAATTTTTGTATACTTACACATATTTCCTTGTTTTTCTATTGGGGAATCACTGTGGTTTCTTGTTCTAGGTTGGCCAAGGACCCAAACTTCGACTAATAAAAGTGTAATCTTCACAACCCAGAAAAAAATTGTCTGAAATTTCCAGAGAAGCATTAAATTGTGTATGAGTTGTATTTGAAAGAAATGAAAAATTAAAGTACCATTTCTTTCATGGAATAGAATATGTCATGTGCTGGTGTGCATGAATATGAATGACCCTTTTGGTGATCACCAGGTATGATCTACTCATCCATACATGTAGCAGCTTGTGCTTTCTTGTTGCAGAAAAACACATTTAAAATTTGAACAATTTTATATAATCCTACATGGAAAGACATATTACAACAAATATAATGGGTATGACATAATGATGGCTGCCTGACTAAGCGATTCGATCCAAATGAATCGTTGTTTTACTGCTGTTATTGTATATAATCCTGAGGAGTGAAATCAAGGCTTTTTCAACAACTTTAGAAACACTAGTAGCCGGAATCAATTCTAATGCCAATCTGTTTACATATGTAGTAGAAGGTGCATAACATTCTATGAATTTAGAATTCTTGTCAAGGAATAACTTTTATAAGTTAGCTGTATGCCAAAAGTGAAATTAAAAGAAAGAAAAGAAATTCTGGATGCTTAGTGGAGGTGATGGGATACTGCATCCTTAGTCCCACTATAAAGTACTCTTCACCTGGTCCTGAAGTGTTAAGAGAATTGAACAATGGCTAAGCATGGAGCACTTCTGTTTTATCATGCCTTCACCATTCTCATCCAAACTATCAGTTTATTGTCCAAAGCCACTTCTGAAGATAGAGAGGTAGGAGTCATCTTTGTTGTAAAACAATAGTCTTCTCGGTCTTTCGCTTGATCTTCGATTGATAATAAATAAAAAGGAAATGCCATTTTATGAAGAACTTTTTCAACAGTATTGATTATTATATTTATATGTGACTGAATATTTGATCATGATGATGCAGGTCTCTATTGTGTACTTGGGATCACTTCCTCATGGAGTGTACTCTCCATTGTCTCACCACCCAAGTATTCTACAGAGAGTTATCCAAGGAAGGTAGTCTATGCAGATCTTTAATGTTACCTTTTGTTTTTGTCTTTTAAGTCATAGGGCTAGTTCTTACACCTCTCTCTCTCTCTCTCTCTCAGTTCTCTTGAAAGTTTATTAGTGAGAAGTTACAAACGGAGTTTCAATGGATTTGCTGCCAAGCTCACTGACCTGGAAAGAGAAAAACTTGCAAGTAATGCCTCCATGATACTTTTTCTTTCTTTCATTAAAATGGTTAAGAATATATCATTTATATAGACGGTGCATTGCAGACATGAAGGAAGTGGTCTCTGTCTTTCCAAGCAGAACATATCAACTCCAAACAACAAGATCTTGGGACTTTATGGGTTTCCATGAGAAAATCAATCAAACTGCCACTGTTGAGAGTGATGTTGTTGTTGGTGTGATTGACAGCGGGATTTGGCCTGAATCAGAGAGTTTTAAAGACGAAGGTTTTGGTCCTCCTCCCAAGAGGTGGAAAGGAGCTTGTAAAGGAGGCAACAACTTCACTTGCAACAAGTAGGTTCCCTCAATATTCTTCAATATTGTGGCAGTATGTCTTCAATATTTATTATATGTAAACTGTTGCAGAAAAAAGAAAACTCGCATAAATCACAAGGAAAAACTAACCAAGAAATAAGAGAAGATAGAAAGGGAGAAAGAGAAAACACAAATTTAAGTTGTTCAAATAGCTTGTTTATGTCAATGGAAAAGGCAGCTTTACAATCAACTTCCAAATTTCTATAGCTAATACCAATATATATGGACCAAGTTGATACTTTTGTATTGTCATCCTTTTCGTAATAGGAAACTAAATCAGGGACTTATTCTATTAGAAACACCTATGTATATTCATTTTCGTTATTTTTGTTATGGTTTTGCTTGTAATTCTATGTTCTCTTTGCAGTAAGCTCATCGGAGCTCGATATTACGTAGCAGAGTCTGCAAGGGATGGAACAGGTCATGGAAGCCACACTGCCTCGACAGCAGCTGGGAATGCTGTAAAGGATGTAAGCTTTTATGGACTAGCACAAGGTACAGCAAGAGGAGGAGTTCCATCTGCGAGAATTTCAGCATATAAAGTTTGCGCTCCAATGTGCATGGCACACAATATTTTGGCTGCTTTTGACGATGCTATTGCCGATGGAGTGGACATTATTACAATTTCCATTGGATTTGGTTTTATACAAGATTTGGATCGGGATGCTATTTCCATTGGTGCCTTTCATGCAATGGAGAAAGGGATACTAACCTCAAACTCTGCAGGCAACAATGGCCCTTTAGGTGCTACTGTGTCAAGTCTAGCTCCATGGATATTGACAGTTGCAGCAAGTAGCACAGATCGTCGGATCATTGACAAAGTTGTTCTCGGAAATGGGACAACACTAGTTGTAAGTCACATCCCCTTCCTCCATCCTCAAAATAATTTGCATTTTTTTTATATTGAGATTTTCTGTTGAAGACTTTTTAATGATCTTTACACAAACAGGGGAGTTCTGTGAACACTTTTATATTAAATGGAACAAGTTTTCCTTTGGTACATGGAAAAGATGTTTCACGTAATTGCACAGAGAGAAGGGCTGGGTAATTCTTCTACCATTGTTATTTTAACTGTGAACATTCTAAACAAATTAATAACATGCAAGATACTACCTTATTACATTGCAGAAGATGTGAAGAAGGTTGCCTGGACAGTGATTTAGTAAAGGGAAAGATTGTGCTGTGTGATGATTACGATAGGGGAAATACAGCTGCATATAAAGCTGGTGCACTCGGTTCAGTTTTATATAATTTTCGCAATACTGATGATTTCTCTACGATTCCCCCATTTGCTGCAACGACTTTAAATGAGAAGACATATAGTGTGGTCATGTCCTACATGAACTCCACTAGGTATAGATTCTTTTGGATGGTTATTAGGGGATTGTCTCAACATGTTTTCTCTCTCTAAATGATTGAATGCCTCTCGTATTTTATAGAGATCCTCAAGGAACCATATTAAAAAGTGAAGCCATAAACAATCCTGCTGCACCTCTTGTTGCTCTCTTCTCTTCACGTGGACCGAATCTAATTTTACCCGACATTATCAAGGTATATGATTTCCTTGTGACCTATATTTAGCTTCGATATTCATGGATACATTATACATTTACACTCTGTTGATGTTTTTCAGCCAGATATAAGTGCCCCGGGAGTACAAGTTTTGGCTGCATTTTCGCCTGATGCTTCTATCTCAACGACTCCTGGAGACAACAGGCATGTACAATACAATATAATGTCTGGAACCTCCATGGCTTGCCCCCACGCTGCTGGTGTAGCTGCATAT